GGATGCCGTACCGGCCGCGGATGCTCCCCCGCCCCCTCCCCTTTGAGGTCCACGAGACGATCTGGTCGCAGAACGCCGGGGCCGAGGACGCGGGGGCCGAGGACCCCGAGCCCGACCCGGCGGAGGACACCCAACGCCGGCTGAGCGCGTACCGGGCGATTATGGAGCGCTGGTACCGCCACCTGCAGGCCCTCCTGGGCAAGAGCGACCTCGCCCTGCAGGTGCGGCTGCCCGGGTCCTGCCCAAAGTTCGAGGACTTTCGCGGCCTCCAGCTGACGCCCGACAAGTACGAACTCACCGTCGAGGAGGAAGAGGACGCCCTGCGCGAGTGGTCCGACAGCTGTCTGTGGTGGTGGGACGAGATCAATTTGCTCAACGAGAAGAGCGCCGCCGAGGCGAATGCCGCCTCACGCCCCAACGCGCCGTTTCAGACCACCAACTGCAACTCCGACCACGGCACCGGGGACGGAGGGGGTGATAGGTTCGTGGTGACGTCCTCTGATCACGTGGAGCCGATATGGTTTAATCACCACCCATCCTATTTGGCCGGCGTTAATCCGTGTAGCGGTGATGGGGACCTGCTCCTAATAGAGGCTCTGCGCGAGTCTCATCAGGGGCAGCTAATACTAGACGAGGACAAATTGACAGAAGCGTGTGGGCGTCAATTGCTAATGGATATTGATGACGACGAGGAATAACGGAAAGGTCTGCCAAATAAAAGGGGTTCCAGTGGAAAATTACTTTTGGCTTCAAAGGGTGTAAAAAAAAAAAGATGATAATGTATGTCACTAGAAATAAATCTAAATGAATAAATAATAGGAACACATAATCCTAACACATCATATAGCTGCTGTCACTTTTGGGAACTGTTGGTAAAGTATCAGAGAAATAGAGACAAACCTAGATAAAAAGATGTATTGCACGTATAGGAAATGCATATTCATATGTATTCCCTATACCCCTATATCACATGTTTCTGCTTTATTATTATATCTATACGCACATTTAATAATCTTTTCACCGTCCTTCCTTTATACAAATAAAATTAAAGAATATAAAAAGAAAGAATAAAAAGTGCACAAAGAAAAAAGTAGTTAAGGGGCATGTGAAAAGGAAATTACACTTGCCAAAACTGGGAACTGTCGCATTGGGGGTACACTAGAGGAAAAATTCGATCCCGTCTCGAATGGCATCTTCACCACTTATCCTTCATAAGAAGATTCATTGTAGGTATTGAGGATCATCGTTGTACAAGTGCCGGCACACAGGGCCATTTATGGAAAGGAGGCAGTCAGCGTGTTACCATGTCATAAATGGTATTGGTGCGCATCTCGGTAGTTAAAAAGGAATGGAGAAACGACCAGAAATTACATAACCATTTTTGACTTGCACCTTGTGGCACTGTTCCCCTCTCCTTGAGTAAATAAGCCAGCCGTGACATTCTCAGTAGGGTAGAACTGCACGAGACAGGGCACATTGCTAGGACCGGCTGGAACTAAAAACTAGTTCGAAGATTCCTAAAGGATTCCAAATTTTACTCGCTCCTATTTTGAGCCTTGAAAAATGTTGCATAACGCCATATTAACCCATGCAGCCAAATTCTTGCTCAAATGAAGGTAACTTTAGCTTTTGGTTTTGTAGGTATTTGGTGTTTATCGAATTTATTCAAGTTTTCAGTTAAAGAAATAAACTTCATGCATGAAATTGAATAGACCTTTCAGCCCTGGATACAGTACCAAAAAAAAGGCATTTTTACATACCCATACAAAACCGGGCAAATGTGGAAAAGAGTGAATTACGCTCGCAGCGGGATCAAGATATGAATATAAAAAGGTTGACAAGAGTGGGGTTTGAACCCACGCCTCCAGGGGAGATCACGACCTGAACGTGACGTCTTAGACCACTCGACCATCTTGCCTCGGCCCAGACAAGTAGTAGTGCAAATGTCTGATTAGATGCTTGAGTTCGAAAAAACTCCTCCCGTTGGATTCGAACCAACGACCTGTAGGTTAACAGCCTAACGCGCTGCCGACTGCGCCAGGGAGGAACTGACGGGTACTTTTAGACATATATTCCACCAAAACAAGGGCCTGGACCGAAACCTTGAGTCGTATTGAAACGGCTTGCGCTTCTCGAACCTTAGTGACGTTCCTATCGTTATCACTTTGAACAATATAAAACCACTACAGTATGAAGAAATGTAAACATGTCTTCAGTTTTCACCTTATTTTATCCTTTAAACACAAATCAGCTAAATATCAAATGTCAAAAATACACACACTGCTTAAAAAAAAAGTTGAAGTATCGCATGGATTGGTACGATTATATGGATGAAACTAATGCATATTTTATAACAATGTGGAGTCTACTCCATCTAACAATTCTCCCATCGCAGGATGGACATGTATTGCCATCCCATGTCGGTGAGTAAATCCATATAGCCCAGACGGGTGTACATATTACACACCTAACCGAACGGTGTGTATCAATATCCACCTAAGTGTATTCTACAAGCCAAAATAGAATAACCCCTCCCACCCACCATATATAATTATTTTTACTCTCCCTATTTGCGTAAACCATAACTATTGGAATTTATACTGTACTCGGTGAATTGGTTAAACATAGTTCTTAACGGCGATCGGACCGATGCACACACAAACTGCATGAGGACCATTTGAAT